GAAAGGAAGGAAGGAAGGAAGGAAGGAAGGAAGGAAGGAAGGAAGGAAGGAAGGAAGGAAGGAAGGAAGACTCTATCTCACCCCAGTCAGAATAGCTACCAGCAGGAATACCAGTGACATTGGGGCTGGAGAGATGGCTCAGAGGTTAGGAGCACTGGCCGCTCTTCCAGAGGTCCTGAGTTCAGTTCCCAGCAACCACATGGTGGCTCACAGCCATCAGCCATCTGTAATGAGATCTGGTGCCCTCTTCTGGCCTGCAGGCATACAAACACTGTATACATAATAAATAAATCTTAAAAAGAAAAAGAATACTCATGACATCGAATGCTGGCCAAGATGTGGGGAAATGGGAATGCTGAAGTGCTGTTGGTAGAGGTGTAAACTAGTGTAGCCACTTTGGAAATCAGTCTAGGGCTGGAGCGATGGCTCAGAGGTTAAGAGCACTGACTGCTCTTCCAGAGGACCCGAGTTCAATTCCCAGCAACCACGTAGTGGCTCACAACCATCTATAATCAATCTGGTGCCCTCTTCGGGTGTGCAGGCAAACATACAGACAAAACACTGTATACATAAAAAATAAATCTATTTTTTAAAAAACAAATGCATTCTTTAAAAAAAAAAAAGAAAGAAAAAAGGAAATCAGTCTGGAATTTGCTCAAAAAACTATGGTAGTACATGATGCCTTGGATCCCAGCACTCAGGAGGCCTCAGGCAGGCATATCTCTGTGAGTTTGAGGCCAGCCTGGGTGACACAGGGAGAGTTTGTCTAAAAATCAGACAAACAAGGCAATAACTAAATAAAACCACCATATGACACAGCCATACCACTCCTGGGCATGCACCCAAGGTCAGGCCCTATGCCCAATGACAGAGATGCCCGAACATTCATGTTCATTGCTGCCCTATTTATAATAACTAGGAAACAAAGCCAGCCTGGATACTAAATAACTGATGAAAGGATAGTGAAGATGTGATACATATACACAATGGAATATTACTCAGCAATAAAGAAAAATGAAATTTGCAGGAAAGTGGAATTGGGGGAAAAATTCTTTTTAAGCAAGTTAACCAGGCCTTAAAAGAAAAGCTGATGCATGCTCTCTCTCATGTGAAGAGCCTAGCTTCAACTCTTTAGAGCGGTGCGTACCTCATACAGCATAATGTGCCTGTGTAAGCCAGGGACAAGGACCAGGATGGGGGAGGGACACTCAGGGGAGGGCAATAGTAGAGCGTAGGTGGAGAGAAAGAGGGTGGTAGTGTGGGTGGGAAAGTTTGGGTGGGGAGATGGGAGGGCAGGATTGGGGGTCCATGGGAGATGAACCAGGATAAAGGAAGTAAAAAGAATCCATCTGGAGACAGGTGGTAGTGGCCCATGACTTTAATCCCCTCACTCGGGAGGCAGAGGCAAGCAGATCTCTGTGAGTTCCAGGCCAGCCTTGTCTTACACTCTTTCCACCTCCTCTTCTTTGGGGTTCCCTGAGCTCTGCGGGGAGGAATTTGATGGAGACAATCCCATTTAGAGCTATGTGTACCAAGGTCTCTCTCTGTGTATCAAGTCTGGCTGTGAGTCTCTGTATTTGTTCCCATCTGCTGCAGGAGGAAGCCTCTCTGATGATGGCTGAGCAAGGCACTGATCTATGAGTACAGCAGAATGTCAGTAGAAGTCATTTTTACTTTTTTTAAACCAGTGGTACTTGGTTTTACCCTAGCCTCTGGGCTATTTGGTTTCTGGTTCTTGGTCACCCAAGCAGTGTCAGGTACGGTTCCGTCTCACGGACTGGGCCTTAAGTCAAATCACACGCTGGCTGGTTACTCCCATAGCTTTGTGCCACTGCTGCCCTAGCAGCATATTTTGCAGACAGCACAGATTGTAGATCATAGGTTTTGCAGTTGGCTTGGGTGGGTGTTTGCAGCTCTTTGGGCAGCCTGCAGAGTACCTCCCTGTACCAAACACACTGCGATGTCGGGGTGAAGTTCTATGCAGACACCAGTTCACCCTCTCGATGGTCAGTGAGTTCTGTGGGTGCTGTCTTCAGCAATGGGGCTGTCAGTTTGCGGAGAGCAACCTGTTATCTTGGCAACAGCCTGGGTTGTGTGGGGATTTCCATGGGACCCCTTTGGCCAACAACTCAATTGGATGTAACCCAGTCCCGGTACTGGAAGGTTTGTTTGGTGACAAGAGACGACTAGTTAGGACTCCATCTCATTATCTGGAGGCTTCATTAGGATCACTGACTTGTATTATAGGAAGTTTCCACTGCACTAGGTTTCCATACCCACCTCAGTGTCCCTCAGTTCTTGCTGTCTCTCCTCATATCTCTCACTCAACCCCATCTCCCCTCCCCACATGGTCATCCCATTCTTGTCCCCATTCTTGCCCCCCCCCAGTCTACCCATAAAATCTATTTCCCTTTCCCAGAGAGATCCATGTGCGTGCCCCACGCCCCACCAGTCCCTTCCTCTATACCTAACCTCTCTGGGTCTACAGATTGTAGCTTGATTATCATTTATTTAATAGCTGATAGCCACGTATAAGCGAATACATACCATGTTTATCTTTTGGGGTCTGGGTTACCCTATACAGCATGATTTTACATCTATTTGCCTGAATGATTTTTTTTTTTTTTTGGTTTTTCAAGATAGTAGTATTTCTCTGTGTAGCCCTGGCTGTCCTGGAACTCACTCCATAGACCAGGCTGTCTTCAAACTCAGAGAGATCTGCCTGCCTCTGCCTCCCAAGCACTGGGACTAAAGGCGTACACCACCACTGCCTGGCCAGAATGTATTCTTTTTTTTTTTTTTTCTTCTTCTGAGACAGGGTTTCTTTGTGTAGCTTTAGAGCCTGTCCTGGAACTGACTCTGAAGACCAGGCTTGGCCTTGAACTCACAAAGATCTGCCTGCCTCTGCCTCTGGAGTGCTGGGATTAAAGGTGTGCATCACTACTGCCTGGCTCAGAATGTATTCTTTAACAGTTCCTCCTAGCCATAAACTTGCTTAGTCTAAAAATGTCTTAAATTTCCAATATCATAAGTGATATTGTCAAACAGATATACATTTCAACTGGGTCAAAATACTCTTCCTGTGTTTATACAATTTTGCCTTTAAAACAAGTCTGATTCATATTTACAGCTGTCCCAATGGTCTAATCCAGTAGGTAATCTACTTCCCCAAATCTTGGTGGATCAGATGCTGTGAGTGGCGGCGTCATGCATAGATACCACTCTAAAGGAAGACAGTGTTAGAGCATGCAGTGAAGGCCCATCCAGAAAAACCTCCTCCTAGTCAGAAGAGTCTCTGGCCTTGGCGGAGACCTGGCATTTCAGTGGGGCATGTCAGTCACCTGGCCAAAGGACTGACCTAGGAAGGCAGGCTCACCCCGAGTCACACTAACGAACAGGTGGGATAGATAATTCTTCTTCAAGGAGATGTGTACTCTTCCTCAGGATTCCTATCCCAGCACAGTCCCTATGGCCCACCATGAGCTTTGGCTGGGACTGCCAGCCTCTCTGAGAGTCTGAAGGGCACACCTTTTCCTCTGTATTTTTCTGCCTTTGGGGGTGGGGTGGGGTGGGGTGGTACTGGCCAGAACTGGAGTCCTTCCCCTGTACCTCACGACTTTTCCCCTCACTTCTTCATTGTTTCCTTCTAGGTAGCTGTTGATATTTACAACTTGTTTGACCTGGGTTTTTTTTTTTTTTTCTTTTCCCTTTTACACCCTAAGAAAATTGTCCTTGAGTCCAGTCTTAAATTTTTTTTATTAATTAGACTAAGAACACTGAGCTCTGGTTTTCCTTAT